CCTGTTTTCTTTCTGGGCCCGCGGCGAGTGGCACCGAGAGGCGAGCCGGGATGCGCTGAGGACCGCCGGGGCGCTCGTCCTGGGTGCAGCCGTGGGTGGCGGCGCGGGGGCCCAGGTGTGTCGGACTACCTCGGTTTCCCCCCTGTGCGCCCGCCGCCCCCCGCCGCACTTGATGTGCAGAAAGAAGACGGACATCATGATCCTAACACGTAAGCTAGACTTGTGCCTTGCCGTCGGGCCAGCTGCGGGAGCCAGCTGCGGAAGGGACCCGCCGCGGAGGAAATGTCACGCCACCTTGTCAAGTCGGTGCCTGGCGCTCTGTGCTTTTGAAACGCTTTCCGAGGAGGCTTGGGACCGAGTCGCCCGAGCTTCTTGGAGTGGAGGAGGTGGAGTGTGGGGAACACAAGGGGTTTGGGGGGTGGGGGAGAGGTCTTAATCTCGGGTAATGTCCCCTGGGGGCGCATTGCCTGGGACTCACTGGCTGGCGCGTCCGGTGGGCTCCGGGAAGGGCGGCGGGGTGGCGGGGGCGGAGGAGACCGCGGCTCATGAAGCGAAGCCCACGTTCACTTCCTGCTGGGGCTGGGGGTGCATGGCCAGGCGTGGGGCCGCTGGAAATAACCAGGCGGTGATGGCCTCGGACTGCGAGGACCGACCGTGCTCGGCGTGACCGCATTCTAGTATCTTTTCTGCCGGTACTTGCTTTCCTTCGCCATAGGAAGGAACGTTTATTATTTAGGGACGTTGAGATCGTGGCGGCATTTGGAAAAAAATTTTTTTAAAAACGTGAAAGTAAGTTAATCAAAAACTTGTTTTCATTTCAAACGGTTTTGTTGAAATAACTCAGAAAACCTGAGTCCGGTGGCTGCGCCCCTGGAGCGTGTTGAAGCTCTTTCCAGCCCCGCGGTTGGTCTGCGCGTGAGGGGTACGTGCTGGCAGGGCTGCCGTGGAGCTGACTTCACGGGCTGGGGCGTTGATCGGTTTCGCAAAATGTCCCGCGGAGATGCCCACGCCCTTGGCCCCGGAGGGGGCGCCCGCGCAGAGCGGGTCCCGGGGCCAGCGAAAGGAAGGAAGCACGCCTCCCGGCCCGGCTTTTTTTTTTTTTTTCTTTCCTCGGAGCCAGGCGACGGCCTTTTGGAGCCCTGCCACCCCTGTGACCTTGTCCCCACCTCCGACGTCACGGGCCGGACGAGCTTTTGATCCTGCCGAAGGAGGTGCACCCTTGGCTGCAGCCAGCCGGCCCTGCTACGTGTCTTTCCAGAACTCAGCCCCTGTCACGAGGGGAGCTTGAGTGGAGCCCGGGGGAGGGAGGCTGGCGAATCGGAGCCGTGTCCGGTGCTGATGGTCCACAAACACCCAGTTTGTGCTGGTTGTTGGAGAAGGAAACCCCTGTGTCTGGTCAGTCTGCTCTGTGGAGAAGGAAGCCTTGTCCCACGCCAGCTGTGAGAAGTCTTAATACACTCGGCCTGGTTAGCAAATGGGTTCATTCTCGGGATTCCGAGGCTGGCTCAGCCGTGGTAATGAAGGTATGCAGCCTAGACACAGCCATCCGCTGCAGAAAGATTCACGAGGGTGGCATCTATGACGCATTTGGGCAGAAAAAAAAACAGCTCTGGAGACAGAGGAATACTGAGTCTCAAATTACATTTCTCCCCCCAAACTGCTGAAAGGATGAGGGAAAATAATAGCCCAGCAGAACTCTGAATGTAAATCTATCCGCAGCTCCAAGAGGTTGACTAACTCAGCATCCATCTGGTCCCCTGCGGGATCATTTGCAGACCATACGTGTGGAACTGGTGGAGGCACCCAGTGCCATCTTGGCTTGCAGACTCCAGCAGATGGTCGGAGGGGTGCCCTGTAAGTCAACAGCCCCCCTGGTCGAAGAACTAAAATCCTGGAGATTGAGTGTCAAATAGTTAGCAGATGTACACTCAGAAGTTATTTCAAGACATTTTCGGAGAAAATGTTGGCGATTGCTCGTCTTAACTTTTATTGTAGCATGCCAGACTTTACAGCGTGGCCCCGGCCTGGGAGCATACTTTTATGATTAGCACTACTGTTCAGAGTTTAAAATGAAGCATAGCAGACTGACTTTCTCTCCCAGCTGCCTTTCGAAGTTTGCTTTTGACCAAGACAGATCTTACTCCAGTTCAAGCTGAGCGTGTGACACCTTACACCCAAAGGGACTGACCCGGTTCCCAGCTCTGCAGAATCGGAATGAATAGCTCCCAATTTAAATCTTTCCATCGAGTGGATGGGAAAAGTGGTTTGGGTGACTTCCATGTGTCTCAACTTCCCAGTTGTAGATCTTATGAGAAACACCACTGAGGTGCCTTAAAAGAGTGAAAAGGTTGAACGGACGGGTAGTTAGTTACCTATGGCTAGTTGTAGGCAGCGATCCAAGTTTTAGTACACTGTTCCGTCAAAAGATTTAACTCTATTTGTGGAGCCAAGGTGAGAGGCCGGTTGCCCTTTAACCTCTAAAGCCTTTCTTTTTTTATTTTTTTATTTTGTTAATGTTCTATACTACATTTCAAATATGGTGTAAGGATGTTTTTACATTGAAAAAGGATGTTTGGTTGCTGCTGGAAAAGATACCATATTAACAGAAAAACTTGTTATGATTGAACAAGTTATTGCTGTGAGTGGGTGAAAATTGTTCTCAAACTCTTATTTGTAGAATCAGTGTCGGGGCTGAGAGGGGATGTGGCAGGCACCAGTGCGATACCGCCTGTCAGAGGCTTGGTGGGATTCCAAGAGGTGGTTTCAAATACAAAAATAAGTACTTGGGTTTCCCTTGGTGTCCCCATGGAGATTTTAAGCCATGATGCAATGCTCAAGTGAGAGTGGTATTTTTATGACTTAGGTGAGTAAATATGCCATTTGAAAAATACCCAGGGAAGGGTGGAGGTGAATTGGGCCAGAAGACAGGGGCATGTAGAGTACAGCGGGTGTAAAGTGCGCGGCACTGTTCTGAAGAGAGCCTTGTGCTGGACAGGATGGTCCAGTATTGTAAACACGAGTTTCTCATGCTTAGTTCTCCTTCCTAGCAACAGGAAGACGGAAATGAGGCCATGCAGAGAGGAGGGGGGAGAAAAGACCCTGGCTGGCTCCAGACAATACTTGACCCACCCTAGCATTCACCCTGTATAGCCAGAAGACTTGCAAAAGTAAAAATAACTTCAGATGTTTCCCTTTCCTCCCTGGCTGTTGCCAGATTGCTGAAGACTGAATAGTTGGTGCTTTAGAACAGTGCTTTTCAGCCCGTGTGCCGCAAGAATTTTTAAAACGTTTAATACCTGACTATTCAGTCAGGGGCACTGACCTATTTTCCCTTAGATTGTCGAATAAATAAATGACAACAGCCAACCCAACAATGGCCATCCGGTGTGACTGATTCAAAACTATACTTTTTTTTGTCTGTCAGATTGGGGGGGGAAAAAAAAGTGTGCCGCAGAATTTTAGTAATTTTAGTTTTGTGCCAGGAGATGAAAAGGTGTAAATCGCTGCTTTAGAACATTCTAGCAAAACCTGGCCCCAGGGTGTAGCTAGCAGCAAGGCACACATAATGCCAAAGCCTGTGCTTGAAATTATAAAGCAGACCTGGGGAGAAAGGAGATTTTCCTGTTTCATGTTTGCATAATCCAGTCATTAGAATGATATGAATTGAGATCCAGTGGAGGAGAGAAAATTTAATTTCTGAATCTAGTCATTCCTCTGAGTGCTCATTTGAGCAGGATTTACCCCTAAGAGACTTACTTACCTGGGAGCAGTAGGTCCACAATGCAAAGGAAGTATCTATACACAGCACTCAAGGCCCAGATTTTTCTCGCTGTGGAGGTGGAGGTGAACTGATGCCCAACCGTAAAGTGCGGAGAACCAAACACTCTGTCCCAGAAAGCACAGTCCTATGTCCTCTTTTCAACGGCTGTGCAATTAGGAGGAAAATGCTTTTCGGGAGCTACTCACAACTGTCCTTGTAGCCGACTCTGTGGCCATTGCCTATGGAGGAACCTAAAGACTTGAGGGGTGGTTCCTCTTTTAAGAAGATGGCGCTGTAGGGTTAAAGGATGTTTTCTAGGCATGGGTTGCTGGTGTGAATGCAATCAGTGGTGTTTTCTTTCACCCTCAAATTAGTCAGAAATCTAATTACTGTAAAAGGGGGAAGATTCCCAGCTGAGAAGGGCTGTCTACACTTTTACTTGGGGGACCCATGTTATTGTAAAGGATTATCGTGAACAAGGATAAGGACTAGGGAGTAGTCCCGCTGGGGTTCTTTAATTAGGTCGACTCTGCCTTTGCATTTTTCTCACTAGCTACTCCCTCCTTGCCATCGAAATTTATAGCCTTGCACACTTGGCCTATATACTGTTAGAGTCGCTCACAAGAAACACTCAGCCTTCTCTATTGTGGACACCCCTTTTTGAAGTTTTATAAAAAATGTGCAGACTTTTGACAAGATAGTATTAATATTACAGAAGTAAAATGGGTCGTGTTTGCATTCATGGTCACATTTAATTTTTGCTGCCGCACCACAGAGCTGATGCAGTGTGTCTCCCTTTCACAGGTGAGAGGACTCTGAGGCTCGGCCAGGTCACTCAGTACCTGGCACACCTAGGTTTTCAACCAGCTGTGTGCGTGTGAGTCCCAGCGGAGGGAGATGTATTTGTCAGGAGTTGATTCTGTTTAGGAAACAGTATTTGTCACTTGGCATCGTGCGCCTTGCAGTAGCCACAGTTTCCTAGGGGACCTGAGCTCCGAGGTGGGGAGCTACAGTGTCGGGGTTCCGGATAGAAAAGCAGTCGGTTTTGCACCCCTTCTCTGGAGGCCCAGTGGATGGAGAGTGAGCCTCTTTCTCTGACGTGTAGACAAGGGGTCTGGGTACCGTAGTCTGGCCTGTGCTGACTGCCCGGGATATGCTCTCTTCGGTGACAGTCTTTTTCAATAATATGTCTAAAGGGGGAATGATCTCGCAGATGAAACTGAAGACATTTGAATGGCATCATGAAAATGCCTGCCTAGTAGGAACTACTGTTCTTGGGCACCCAAAGGCAAAATGTGAAAACTTAACTGAAGTCAAGCCAAAACATAGAGTCTTCAGTTTCTCTTAATCATCATCCTTGGTTTTTATTCGGCTGCTTGACTGCATTTCACCGTGGAAAGCCCTGTAAGCTTTTCCATTCACATAAGCCTCTACTTGGTGGCCTTCTTA